ACCCTAGAAATCAAACCAAATCACAATGCAAACAAACAACAATAAGTAATACAACAGAAAGCAGCATCGCAGACACTAAACAGAAAGAGCTTCACCAAACTAGACAAAAAATGATGGTTAAGGTACTCTGCAAGAATATTTTGTGAAAGCCACAGCAAGATTCACTCCAGAGGTCATTGTAGTGTTTACTGTAACCTTGGTTATTTTAGTTTTCTTTTTCTTTCTTTCCTTGGACATTTCTGATGTACTTGAATCTTCGGCTACTTCTGTGTTGTGCTCCTCTATTCGGCTTTGGACATGTTTCTAAAACTCTATAGTCTTTTGATGTGTTTTTTTTGTTCTTCCTTCTTTCTTTCCATGTACGTTTCTAATGTACTTGAAGACATTATATAGGAAAAACGATCCACTGCATTTGATCCACTCATGGAACTTTCAGCACCCAACTTTCTTGGATCAGATAGCCATCCCGATTAAACAATCTCCCATAAGCACACAATACAAATGAAGACAGCATGCTAATTTAATAGAGCAAGACAAGTGTAATCTTCACGTAAACTCTATCAGCCACATAAGAAAAGCTATATTCAGTGGAACTTTCGAACTTTCATCAATGCTCTATGGATGCACCAGCTTTTATATTATGTATAGTTCAGTCTATCCTCCTAAATACAAATAATCAGCAGTATATTTGTGAGTCTCTCAAACTCAAGGGGAGAAAAGAACATATTGAAACAGAGTCCATGTTCTCGAGCATGAATTGATACCGCAACAAAGAAGCAGTGTGGAAATCAAGGGTGACTAGCAACGAAAGTCTCCACAGAACAAACTTGTTTTAAACTACCACTCATAATAAGCAGAGGCTAAGTGAAGAAGTTCTTCATTTTTAAAGCATACCGGCATCAACATTATCCATTAAATGCTCTAAATGTTCACGAATGCTCCCAAGATACAGGTTCCCGCGACTTGTCAGAAGAATGTATGAATTTTCTCTCTTCTTTAGCCACTTCATGTCCTTTACAGAACTTCCTTCATCTAACGAGCAGGAAAAAAAAGGTTCTTGCTGCTGCACGATTGAAGAGCTCAATTAGAAGCAAACCCTCGTCAAAAAGCGTATATGTATTACTCCTTTATGAAAGAAGAACAAGAGTCAAAGACAACATAATTTCATCAAATATAATTTGAAATGCAGAATTTTAAGGACTGCACATGATGTTAACGGATAAAAGGAAGCTTTCTCTTTCCAACCCCATGTCAAAGTGTTTCAATTTCTCGGTTTTAAGCCGACCTAGCAAATAATTTGCATGCAAAACCTATGGAGAATAAAGATAAATAAGGGGATAAAAATGCAAATTGCAAGCAATCACCGCCTATTTCAAAATATGGTTTGGATTTTTGTACATGTGCAGTGCATCAGATGCACAAAGCTGACAATTGTCAATGTAAGTACAACCTAATAAATCAGATTTATTAACGAAACATTAGTCTATGTCCCACAAAACGAGGCTCCAGCTAGACCAGGATAATAAAACTTAACTAAGCATCCACGTCTATAGGACTGTAGCTCATTACTAAGGGAGGATACCGTCCACCAACTTCATTTTGGCTCATGATTCTGTCTTTATTATGGATAAGTGGAACCCTATAATCATTTGCAGATATAAAACGAAAGCGAACGTAACTAGAGATATCTCAATTCCCAAAAGCCAAAAGAGCATATACAGGAAAATGTCCAAAACGCAGGGCCAGCTATACCTATTCCTAATCCGAACCGAATGTAACAACACAGGCGTCGGTCAGCGTCTAACAAGAATTCTCAATGAACATGCTCAGAAAAGAATCACAACATGACGAGAAAAAGTTGACTTTTTTTCAAGGATCTCCACATGTAAGGAGTGTAATTGGAAAAGGAATTCCGGCCCCAAAGTTTCAGCCATTTTCTCATATAAACATATAGCGTGATCTAACAAAAGGGACTCTGAGTCTGAACTAACCTTATTGACAAGGGAAAGAACCAAGAAGAAGTAAACAGTCCCCCCACTAGAAGCCGCAAGCGTCAAAGAATCTGGAGAAAGCGAGAGCAAGCCAACCGCTCCCACGGCCACGTCCACGACGCACACTTCCAGCACGGAAGAATCACTCCTCTTCGCCGACTTCATCACATCCCTGGTCCTCGCAACGCAAAACCCTACAAACCGGAGCACGATTAGCACCAAATCGCACCGCCACAGGCTACCAATCGGACGAACGTATCGAGGTCTACAAACTCACCAGAGGAGTGGGCCACGAAGACAAGCTGGAACTGGTCGGAGACGGCGAGCGGCTGGGACGGGAGGCGGCCGGGGCCGTACGGCCTGGCATCTCCGCCGCTGCCCCCCGGGAACTCGACCGGCACCGGGTCGCCGATCCGGGTGAAGAAGAAATCGGAGGTCTCCACGTGCTCCCCTTCGGCCTCGTCCTTCAGCTCGATCGTCGCGGCCATGGCAGGAGCTGGAGTTTCCGGTCGCAAGAGAGAGGGGGAGGGGATGGAACGGCCGAGCTCCGATCGACGGTAAGCGGCGGTGATGACGAAGACGGTGCCGGTGGAAGTGCGTAAGGTTTCTTGGGCGGGAAGAGAGACAGAGAGAGAATGGAGGGAGACGGTTCGTGCCCTAGAGAAGGCTACCGAGTCGCAAATTAGCAAAGTATGAAACGACCATATTATATAAACATTAGATTCAAAAGCATAGTATAAACAAATTACATAGCCGCAAATATCGTACTATCTTCGAAATGCATGTAAACTATTGGAGCATTTGTCTACTTGACTGACGTGGGAAAAAACTTTGAATTGTGTTATTGCGTTGGAATAAAATGAAATTATTTCCTTAAATACATATGGATTATGATAAAGTAGTCGATAATGAAGAGAGAGAAGAGAAGGACGAGAGGGGCAAAGAATCATTGCATAATGCATGTGTTTCGCTACGTTTTTTTACGAGGGAAGCACCAAAGTCTTCTCTTGTAACGAGAGGAGGAGCCCAAACCGACTCGGCCCGGGCCGGCCCGGCTTTAAGAGTTGCAAACCGTTAACATCTGTGTGTTCATCGAACGACACATGATTAAAAAACACGAATTTAAAGTTTATTTACAGGTAAATGGCACAAATAGTCTTTGAAATTCGATTTAATGTGTAATCTATTCGATATGGTTCATGAACTTTAACTCAATATGTAATGTGGTATGGTATCTGAACTTTTAATTTGCTCAATATGATCTTTGATCTTTTGGTATATGTTTAATTAAGTCTCTGAACTATATTAGAATGTTTAATGTAGTCATTCTATTAATTCAAGTTCATGGACTATATTAAATATTTTCATATAGTTCAGGAACTACATTGAACATATACCAAATGTTGAGGGATCGCATTGAACAAATAAAAAATTTAAAGACCACAGTGCATATTGGATTAAAGTTCATGAATTCTTTGTCATTATCCTTTTATTATAAAAGAGCATGTCAGTAAATAAAATGCATTAATGCTATCAACAGTGGCTACACATAATCTCACGTATACAAACATACACAGTTGGGTTGAATCCTAACATCGAGCCACGGTTGGCACACATACTGGCACATCGGCATCCATAATAATTGTACCAATTGGAATAATCTTCTCGATGTAATTATTGCTATTTTGCCAAGATCATTCTTAATTCATGTCAAGTCCAACCAAATCAGCAGCCGAAAAAGGAAATTCATCCTTTATTTAACTAGAAAAATTTAAATTTGTCGCAAAAATGACAGCCTCTTATTTCCCTCGTTGAAAATAAATCTATCCTTGGCTTCAAAACTCACATTTAAATCAATTCAAATCAATTAAAAAAAATCCCCTTTCCTTTTGTTTATCTTGATTTCTGGAAAAATAAATCCGATAATGTCAACACTCGCTTCATCTGACTAACTAGAAAACATCCACGCTCTGACATTCATAAATATTTAGCAATTAGAATAGTCTTTCTAATGTAATTATGGTATTTCTTTTTTGCCAAATCAGCAATCCAAAAGGGTAACATTCATCCTTTCTTTGATAAGAAAAATCTATATTTGGTCGCTAAATGACAGCCTTTTTATTTCCCCTGTTGAAAAATCAAGCATTGGCTTCAAAATCGGCATATAAATCGATTTAACAAAGGGTTGGTACCACAAAAAAACTCTCAAATTGATATATTTGTGATAAATTTACCTTAAACTAATTTTTTGACCACTAAAAATCCTCAACTGGTACATTTGTGACATATTTACTCTCCAATAGTTTTTGTTTAATTGGATTAATACCATAAAAAAATCACAAACTGGTATACCTTTGATAACCAGAGGGGTAAAACCCCAAACTGGTACACCAATCAACTATCAAGTGTCATCCAATTCAGTAATTTGACGGTAAAATTTAACGTAAATTAACGGAGGGTTTGTCACAAGTGTACCAATTTAGAATTTTTCATAATGTTAACCCTTTTAAAAAAGAAAAATACTATTTTTCGCCGGTTCAGCTTGATCTCTATAAATGATAACTCTTTGCTTAATAGGACACTCATGAAGAAAATCCGATAATGTCAAACCCCAAATTAGTATACTTGTCAACTGTTATGTGTTGTTCAACTTAGCAATTTGATGATAAAATTTAACGTAAATTAATAGAGGGTTTGTCACAAATGTACCAATCTAAGGTTTTTCATAATATTAAACCCTTTTAAAAAGGAAAAATACCCATTCCAGCTTGACCTTTGGAAAACGATAACCCTTTGCTCAATAGGACACTCACCAAGAAAATCCGATAATGTTCAAACTCTCTCAACCCGACTAACTTAATAATATCAAACAGCAACTCTTCTATCTAAGTATATTTTAGGAAATATTTCAGATGGACTCCTATTCACCTTAGGAAAGTGCAAATTCTATCTGGCCTGGCTAGTAACATGTTATATATAATGCTTCAGAAGCTGTGAACAGAGAAACAGTAGACATGGAGAGCAGTCGAAGCCAAAGTGATGAAGCCAAAGAAGTCCTTCAAGCATCGTTGTTTCTTTCCGTATTGAAGCACACCGGCGATCGTATCTCCGAGGGCGACGAACCCGCGAGATCCGAGGATGTTCCAGAGAGCAGTTCGGGCGCGCCGCTTCGCCAGCTGCGCAGATCCAACCCTCCCATTGTCCGGCGTGTAAACGCGCTGATCGACTCTATCGGGCGATGCCGGGGTCCGTTCGAGAAGCGGTTGAAGTCGAGCGACCTCAGAGAACAACAGAACCGGCTCCTCCTGTGGAAGGACCACGTCCGGGAGTTCATACTCCCGTTGCTCGAGGAGGACGACGATCCCGCGCAAGGCGTGGAGGTGATGGCGTTTAATACGGAGGGAAAGACGTTTCCTCTGCGGTTCAAAATTTGGTGCAACAAGGTGTACGTCCTCATGGGCAATTGGAAGGCGTTCGTCGAAGAAAATCAATTGGAAGACGCGGATGTACTCAAGATATGGGCATTTCGCGACGTTCGGACCGAACGTTTGTGCTTCCTGATCTCTAGGACGCCGAACGCACCCGGACAGAACCGGACGGAGAAGGGGGCTCGAAGAGAGGGACGGAAGCGCATCAAGTCGAAGCCCCAAAAGGCGCTTTTATCCGGCTAGGTAGGACGATTGGTTCTCGCTGGCTTCGTCCCATTCGTCTTCAGCAGCTTCCGTTCTGGCTTCATCGAGTTTTGGCGCCTATTTTGGTGATTACAGTATTTTTTGTGGATATCTAACTGTAAATTCATTATCTCCGTTGTGAATATTTCTTAGGACCATTATCAATTGTTCTTATACTTTTATCTGTTAAACAAAAGATTTAAATTTAGGAACTCGTGATACTGCTATCAACTGATTTTTACTTCGGGATAATTGCTGAATATTCGATTTGTGTTAACATGTTCCTCACCTCACGATCAGTCCATCACAGTCATAGTTGATCCAAGATTGGGTTTGACAGAGCCGGCAATACTCGACATGATCCGCTTGCATGACTTGAACGAGAGATGTCAAACACGAACTACGGAGAGAAAATCCGAACATGATATGTCGCATCTTACTTCATACGTTGTCACGAACCGACACGAATTAATGTGTCTTCATCGTAATTCAGTTATTTCACACAGAATAAAAATTAAGAAAGGCAAAATTATGAATCCATTGATGACATTATAGATGAGTTTCCATGGATATGAGGACAGGCCAGTGGACATCGTTGTCCATACAATCCACACTTTGTCCAGGTTATATCTGCATGAGGAAGGGTGACTAGCGAACATGTATCGAATTTTAATTCGTGAAGAAACCCCAATCCAAGTGGATTCCCTAATTTGAGTAAGTTTCCTCTTTTGAATGATTTTCTAGTTCGAGTAGCTTTTCTACAACAGTTGTATGGTTTTGTTTCGCGCATAATTTAGGCTGGGAAATACTTGAGTGATTTAGCAATTGTGACTCCAAGCTCTCCAAATTCATAGTGGATTTCTCAGCGGAAATCTCTTCTTTTGGTGATTTTTTTTCTTGTGTTAGACTTGAATTGTAAGATGGTCACACGTAATTTGGACTTTGGTTATTTTGGCTAGGCAAAGGTTTGAGCTCTAGATCCATATAATGAAAGATTTTGCATGACAATTGTCAATTATTCAAAAGGCTAAAATTATTAAAAGGATGCGTGATTTTATATTTAAATATTCTATCCGGTCTCTAACATTATTCGGCGTACCATGTCAATTGACAAAAACATGTATTATTTTTGTGATTTTTTTTAGTCTAATTAGTTGATGCTTGATGGGCCACTCCTCATCGATCAATCAGAACAGAACAATCTTTTCAATATATTATTGTTTTTTTTATATTGCCAAATCGGTAGTCCAAAGGTAACATTCATCCTCTCTTTGATTAGATAAATCTAAATTGTGTCACTAAATTACGGCCATTGATTTCCCTTGTCGAAAAATCGAGCATTCGCTTCAAAATCGACATATAAATCGAATCGAGTAATTTAAAAAGAAAAAAGAAAAATCCCCTTTCCGGCCGGTTCAGCTTGATTTATGGAAACCGATAACCCTTTGCTTAATAGGACACTCGCGAAGAAAATCCGATAATGTCCAGACTCACTCGATCTGACTAATTGGAGTATATCTTAATTACGCAAAGGATAACATCAAGCAGCATGAAGTAAAAATATTCCAATCCGAATATTATTTTAGGAAATATTTCGACAGACTCCTATTCAATTTAGAAAAAGGGCAAGATCAATTGGGCAAAATCTAAGTATAAATATGTTACATAGATCGCTTCGGAAGCTGCGAATAGAGAAATGGTTGACTTGACATGGAGAGAAGTCAAAACCAAAGCAAAGAAGTGCTTCAAGCATCACTGTTTCTTTCCATATTGAAGCACACCGGCGATCATGTACCTAGGGGCGACGAAGATGCGCGGTCGGAGGATGTTCGGGCAAGCAGCTCACGTGCGCCGTCCCCGGCCCGCGAGCCTTGCGATCCGGACCCTCAGCTTGTCCCCCGCGTGAACGCGCTGATTGACTCTATTGGGCAATGCCGGGGGTCGTTCGAGAAGCGGGTGACGGCGAGCGACATCGCGGGCCAGCAGAACCGGCTCATGCTGGTGAAGGAGCACGTCCGGGAGCTTGTGCTCCCGTTGCTCAGGACCGGCGATGATCTCGGCACAGGCATAGAGGTGAAGACGTTCAATACGAAGGGGAAGACGTATCCTATGCTGTTCAAGCATTGGTGCAGCAAGGTATATGTTCTCATGAGCGATTGGAAGGTGTTCGTTAGAGAAAATCAACTGGGGGTCTCGGATGTCCTGACGATATGGGCGTTCAGCGACGTCCGAACCCGAGAATTGTGCTTCGTGATCGCTCGGAGGACGGCAAAAGATCTCGAGCAGGGCCAGACAGAGAAGGGACTCAAGGCGAAGGATGGAAGCGCAGCGAGTTGAAGCCCCAGGAGTCGGCTTTTTATTCAGCTGGGTAGGATGATCAATTTTTGCCGGCTTCGTCGCATTACATCTTCAGTAGCTTCCGTTCCGATTTGGTCAGGTTTCGGCAGCTATCTAGTGCGTACATTATGCTCAACTGTTATCTAACAAAAATTTTATAACAACACTGTCAATTATTTTGTAAAATTTAAGTTATTAGACGAATACGCGATTTTAATATTTAGATGTTCTAACGCTTTCTCTCGATGCATAAACTGGACTTTTGCCTTAAGACTAAGCATGGAAATAATAATAAATGAAGCATGTCCAGTACCATGTAAAATTTCGTATGACCATTACCAACTATTTTAAAACTTAAACTTTTAGATAATGGCGTAATTTAAAATTTGAGATATTCTAACATTCGTGTCGTGACATTGATTACCTGATTTATATCATAAAGCAAAGAAGATCCATTCCCAGATCATTGTTGAATGTTGGATGCGTGTTCACAATATACTTAATTTACGCACTGAATTCTAAAAAGGGCATGCCTTTTTCGTTAAGCACTTAATTTTATAGTGGAAAATAAGAATGTTCCGATTCAGTTACGAGTCAATTTGATTCATTGCTTAGCAAATAAACTGATTTGTCAAAAAGTTCGATTGAGGGTAAAATGGATTCATCAGCAATCTACTATATCCCAAAGCCTTGAAACCTAATTTGGGTTTCAAACCTAATTTGGATCCAAACCCAAGTAGGATTTGATCAGTTACTAGGTTGAACAACCAGATCATAGCACGACACATGTTGGATGCTTGAAATCTTCTAACATAGTATCAACAGTTTGCTGGTCGTCCTTGTATGAAATCAGTCATGAACTCCCTCCTGTAATTAGCCATCCATATAAATTTTCGGGTTAATACCACGAAAAATCCTAAACTGGTACACTTGTGACACATTTACCCCAAACTATTTTTTTGACCATAAAAAACCATAAACTGGTACACCTGTAACAATTTTACCCCGAACATACCACAAAAAACCCCAAACTGGTACACATGTGACAATTTTACCTCGAATTAATTTTTAATATTATTTTTTTATTTTTTTTCTTTTTTCTTTTTTCTTTTTTCTTTTTTTTTCTTTCACCTGCAACCTCCGGCGGGCCGCCGGTCCGGCGACCGGCCAGAGGTGGAAGCCGGCGAGGGCCGCCCTTGCCGACGTCGGGCGAGGGCCATCCTCGCCAGATTCGGCGAGGGCAACCCTCGCCGTACGGCGAGGGTCGCCCTCGCCGGCGTCGGCGGACCCTCGCTCGGGTCGGGCGAGGCCGCCCTCGCCGCCGGGGCAAGGGTGACCCCTCGCCCGAGGCTCAGGCGAGGGCGGCCCTCGCTCGACGCAGCGAGGGTCGCCCGGGCCGGCGAGGCCGCCTCGTCGGCTCCTCCTCTGGCCGGTCGCCGGACGGCTGACCCGCCGAGTTTGAAAATGAAAAAAAAGAAAAGAAAAGAATAAAAAATAAATAAAAATTCGAAAAAAATAAAAAAAATAATATTAAAATTTTAATTCTGGGTAAAATTGTCACATATGTACCAGTTTGAGGTTTTTTGTGGTAAGTTCAAGATAAAATTGTCACAGGTGTACCAGTTTGGGGTTTTTGGTGGTCAAAAAAATAGTTTAGAGTGAAATTGTCACAGGTACCAGTTTGGGGTTTTTTATAGTCAAAAAAATAGTTTGGGGTAAATGTGTCACAAGTGTACCAGTTTAGGATTTCTTATGGTATTAACCCTAAATTTTCCTGTTCTTGCAGCAATATACAATCTCGTCTACTACAGAGCAACTATTAGCAGGTCGTTACTCAATCTCCTTGATTATTCAATGAAATTCTCATCGCAATTTTTGAAAAAGAAAAAGGAAAAACAGGGCATCATATATATAGTTGAGAACCCATGACATGGAGGGTTGTAAAAGAAGAGAAACTTCGTTGCCTTGGGTAACATTAAGTTTGCAGTCTTTAACCGATAAATATACCTGCCAGAACAATCCCTATAAAACTATGTTTCCGCTATACAGGAAAAATCGCAAGTGAAAGCGCACTCACAACAAGTGCAAGCCACAGCCAAAAGATATGCAGACCATCATGCTGTCATATTATGGTACATGAGAACTAGTCCGGTGGCGCCAGGATTAAAAGAGAAGGTACTGCCACTAGATAATTAGTTGACTTTGCTAACCTATGTAATTATGTCATTCTGAAGTTCCCGTGAGCTCTGCTGAAACTATTTTCTCATCTGTGTGAAAAGCTCAGGTGGTTTTGCATTTCCACCACCACCAAAAGCAGAGAAGGCACCTGCACCTTGTTGGCTGCCGAACGCCCCAAAACCAGCTCCTGCACAATACAACGTAGTATGTTGAGGAGACAGTATACCCAACCCAATGCAAGGAGAGAGAGAGAAAGAGAGAGAGAGAGAGTCCCTCACCAGTCGAAAATCCTCCCCCAGGAGCAGCTACTGCAAATCCGGTACCGGATGAAGCAGCCACAGCAAATCCTCCAAATCCACCACCAGCTGAGGCTGCACCACCTAATCCACCACCGCCTGAACCCATACCACCAAAAACACCGCCAGAAGATGCTAAAGCAGCAAACCCACCTCCAGTAGAACCAACCCCTGCAAATCCACCTGCAGTGGCGGAGGAAGAAAAACCACCAGTTGAACTAGCAGCGGCAAAACCCCCACCAACACTGCCAGAAGATGCAAAGCCAGCACCTCCAAAACCAGAGCCAATCTGTCTCGACTGTCCAAAAGTCCCAAGAACTGATCCAAGAGCGGGTTGACCAGGTCCAATCTGTGATGGCTGACCAAATCCACTCTGAGTGGGAACTTGAGCATTTGTTGGAGTACCAAAGGCTCCAGAGAATGCACTTGCAATTGGTGGTTGTGATGGCTGTGAAGATTGTGGAGACTGGAAATTGAAAGAAGCAGGGCGAAACAGCTCTCCACTAGGTGCTGCCATAGCAAATGGATAGCTTGTTGGGGTTGTTGCTGCACTACCAAAAGAAACACCAAATGGGCTTCCTTAGGTGCGGTCGAATTGGGAGTAGATCCAAGGCCAAATGCATTGAGACTTCCCAGACAAAGATCAGGTTTTTCATTAATCTCAGGAGCCACTTCCTCCATCTCATCCTCCTGTGTAGCTGTGACATCCAGACTTTCAGTCTTTTGAATTGTGTTGCTCCTGCCATGGCCGCGACGATCGAGCTGAAGGACGAGGCCGAAGGGGAGCGCGTGGAGACCTCCGATTTCTTCTTCGACCGGATCGGCGACCCGGTGCCGGTCGAGTTCGCAAGGGGCGGCGGTGCCAGGCCGTACGGCCCCGGCCGCCTCCCGTCCCGGCCGCTCGCCGTCTCCGAGGAGTTACAGATCGTCTTCGTGGCCCACTCCTCTGGTGAGTTTGTAGACCTCGATACGTTCGTCCGATTGGTAGCCTGTGGCGGTGCGATTTGGTGCTAATCGTGCTCTGGTCTGTAGGGTTTTGCGTCGCGAGGATCAGCGATTTGATGAAGTCGGCAAAGAAAATGCAGGAGGAGTGGAGAGGTCCTTCCGTGCGGCTTACGAGCTTCGTGAACGTACGCATGGTGGAGGACCTGGAGGTTGACTTGCTCTCGCCTTCTCCTGATTCTTCGACGCTTGCTGCTACTAGTGGGGGGACTGTTGACTTCTTCTGGGTTCCTTGGCTTCTCAATAAGGTTAGTTCAGACTCAGAGTCCCTTTCGTTAGATCACGCTCTATGTTTATATGAGAAAATGGCTGAAACTTTGGGGCCGGAATTCCTTTTCCAATTACACTCCCTACATGCGGAGATCCTTGAAAAAAAGTCAACTTTTTCTCGTCATGTTGTGATTCTTTTCTGAGCATGTTCATTGAGAATTCTTGTTAGACGCTGACCGACGCCTATGTTGTTACATTCGGTTCGGATTAGGATTAAGTACAGCTGGCCCTGCGTTTTGGACATTTTCCTGTATATGCTCTTTCGGCTTTTGGGAATTGAGATATCTCTAGTTACGTTCGCTTTCGTTTTATATCTGCAAATGATTATAGGGTTCCAGTTATCCACAATAAAGGCAGAATCATGAGCCAAACTGAAGTTGGTGGACGGTATCGTCCCTTAGTAATGAGCTACAGTCCTATAGACGTGGATGCTTAGTTGAGTTTTATTATCCTGGTCTAGCTGGAGCCTCGTTTTGTGGGACATAGACTAATGTTTCGTTAATAAATCTGATTTATTAGGTTGTACTTACATTGACAATTGTCAGCTTTGTGCATCTGATGCACTGCACATGTACAAAAATCCAAACCATATTTTGAAATAGGCGGTGATTGCTTGCAATTTGCATTTTTATCCCCTTATTTATCTTTATTCTCCATAGGTTTTGCATGCAAATTATTTGCTAGGTCGACTTAAAACCGAGAAATTGAAACACTTTGACATGGGGTTGGAAAGAGAAAGCTTCCTTTTATCCGTTAACATCATGTGCAGTTCTTAAAATTCTGCATTTCAAATTATATTTGATGAAATTATGTTGTCTTTATCTCTTGTTCTTCTTTCATAAAGGAGTAATACATATACGCTTTTTGACGAGGGTTTGCTTCTAATTGAGCCCGTCAATCGTGCAGAGGACACAACCTTTTTCTTCCTGCTCATTAGATGAAGGAAGTTCTGTAAAGGACATGAAGTGGCTAAAGAAGAGACAAAAGTCATACATTCTTCTGACAAGTCACAGGAACCTGTATCTTGGGAGCATTGAGGAACGTTTAGAGCGTTTAATGGATAATGTTGATGCTGGTATGCTTTAAAAATCAAGAACTTCTTCACTTAGGCTCGCTTATTATGAGTGGTAGTTTAAAGCAAGTTTGTTCGTCAGAGACTTTCGTTGCTTGTCACCCTTGATTTCCACGCTGCTTCTTTGTTGCGGTATCAATTCATGCTCGAGAACATGGACTCTGTTTCAATATGTTCTTTTCTCCCCTTGAGTTTGAGAGACTAACATATATATTGCTGATTATTTGTATTTAGGAGGATAGACTGAACTATACATAATATAAAAGCCGGTGCATCCATAGATCATTGATGAAAGTTTGAAAGTTCCACCGAATATAGCTTTTCTTATGTGGCTGATAGAGTTGACGTGAAGATTACACTTGTCTTGCTCTATTAAATTAGCATGCTGTCTTCATTTGTATTGTGTGCTTATGGGAGATTGTTTAATCGGGATGGCTATCTGATCCAAGAAAGTTGGGTGCTGAAAGTTCCATGAGTGGATCAAATGCAGTGGATCGTTTTTCCTATATAATGTCTTCAAGTACATTAGAAACGTACATGGAAAGAAAGAAGGAAGAACAAAAAAAAACATCAAAAGACTATAGAGTTTTAGAAACATGTCCAAAGCCGAATAGAGGAGCACAACACAGAAGTAGCCGAAGATTCAAGTACATCAGAAATGTCCAAGGAAAGAAAGAAAAAAAAAACGAAAATAACCAAGGTTGCAATAAACACTACAATGACCTCTGGAGTGAATCTTGCTGTGGCTTTCACAAAATATTCTTATAGAGTACCTTAACCATCATTTTTTGTCTAGTTTGGTGAAGCTCTTTCTGTTTAGTGTCTGCGATGCTGCTTTCTGTTGTATTGCTTGTTGTTGTTTGTTTGCATTGTGATTTGGTTTGATTTCTAGGGTTTTTGTTTAATATCAATTCATGCTCAAGAAAGCGGACTCTATTTCACTGTGTCCTTTCTCCCATTGGGTTTGAGAGACCAACTTAGCTATTGCTGATCATATGATTTTGAAGGATAAATTAATTGTACTTAGTACCAATGCTGTTGCATCTGTTGAGCCTTGACTTGAATGTACCATTGAATAGCTTTTCTTACTTATAGAGTTGACGTGAAGCTCGCATTCAGTCTTTCTTTTAAATTAGCATGCTGTCTTCATTTATATTCTTTGTTTATGGAGAGCATTCACCTGTGATGGCTACCCGATCCAACAAATTCTGCCGCTAAAAGTTCCATAATTGGATCAAACATAGTGTGTTGTTGATCGGTGTATTTGCATACACCGTGATGAGCTCTTGAATCTCGCTCTGTGTCTCACAAAGTATCCCTGTAAAGTACCTTAACCATTAATTATTATCTAGTTTGGTAGTGTTCTTTCTAATAACTTTCTGCAATGCTACTTTATGCCGTATTACTTATTTGTTCCGCGATAATGCTGCTTGATTTGTGGTTCTCGTTTTATTTTAGTTTCAATTCATGCTCAAGAACATGGACTCTATTTCAATGTTTCATTTTCTCTCTTTGAATTTGAGAGACCAACTTATCTAGTGCTGATTATTAGGATTTCAGAGGATGAACTAAACTATACATACTACGAATTGACGTGAAGCTTGCGCTTAGCTTTCTCTTAGCATGCTGTCTTCATTACATTGCGAGGTTCTGGTAGATCATTCAAATCTCGATGGTCATCTGATCCAAGAAATTCTCTTGCTGAAAGTTCCATAATCGGATCAAACATACAAACTTTCAACATTCTATTACCCATTCGTATTACAATGATCTCTGGAACGAGCTCTGCTCTGGCTTTCACAAAGTATGCTCATAGAGTACCTTAAATATCATGTTTTGTCTAGTTTGGTAAAGTTATTTCTGTTTACTTCTTTAATGCTGCTTTATGGTGTATTAATTATTTGTTTGGACGGTAATGCCTTAAAATGAACATAAAAAATTAGCATAGTCGTTCTCGTTATTCTTCATTCTCTGTTTACGCCTTTCTCCTTTCAGTTGACTGCAGTGCAAAAGAAGATTATATTGCTGTGGCAAGGAATGACAGCCTAAGTGAAATAGAGTCCACTTTCTTGAGCATGAATTGATATTAAACAAAAACCCTAGAAATCAAACCAAATCACAATGCAAACAAACAACAACAAGCAATACAACAGAATGCAGCATCGCAGACACTAAACAGAAAGAGCTTCACCAAACTAGACAAAAAATGATGGTTAAGGTACTCTACAAGAATATTTTGTGAAAGCCACAGCAAGATTCACTCCAGAGGTCATTGTAGTGTTTACTGCAACCTTGGTTATTTTCGTTTTTTTTTTCTTTCTTTCCTTGGACATTTCTGATGTACTTGAATCTTCGGCTACTTCTGTGTTGTGCTCCTCTATTCGGCTTTGGACATGTTTCTAAAACTCTATAGTCTTTTGATGTTTTTTTTTTGTTCTTCCTTCTTTCTTTCCATGTACGTTTCTAATGTACTTGAAGACATTATCTAGGAAAAACGATCCACTGCATTTGATCCACTCATGGAACTTTCAGCATCCAACTTTCTTGGATCAGATAGCCATCCCGATTAAACAATCTCCCATAAGCACACAATACAAATGAAGACAGGATGCTAATTTAATAGAGCAAGACAAGTGTAATCTTCACGTCAACTCTATCAGCCACATAAGAAAAGCTATATTCGGTGGAACTTTCAAACTTTCATCAATGCTCTATGGATGCACCGGCTTTTATATTATGTATAGTTCAGTCTATCCTCCTAAATACAAATAATCAGCAGTATATATGTTAGTCTCTCAAACTCAAGGGGAGAAAAGAACATATTGAAACAGAGTCCATGTTCTCGAGCATGAATTGATACCGCAACAAAGAAGCAGCGTGGAAATCAAGGGTGACAAGCAACGAAAGTCTCTACAGAACAAACTTGCTTTAAACTACCACTCATAATAAGCAGAGCCTAAGTGAAGAAGTTCTTGATTTTTAAAGCATACCAGCATCAACATTATCCATTAAACGCTCTAAACGTTCCTCAATGCTCCCAAGATACAGGTTCCTGTGACTTGTCAGAAGAATGTATGACTTTTGTCTCTTCTTTAGCCACTTCATGTCCTTTACAGAACTTCCTTCATCTAATGAGCAGGAAGAAAAAGGTTGTGTCCTCTGCACGATTGACGGGCTCAATTAGAAGCAAACCCTCGTCAAAAAGCGTATATGTATTACTCCTTTATGAAAGAAGAACAAGAGATAAAGACAACATAATTTCATCAAATATAATTTGAAATGCAGAATTTTAAGAACTGCACATGATGTTAACGGATAAAAGGAAGCTTTCTCTTTCCAACCCC